CTCCATCCTGGGCAACAAGAGAGAAACTCTGTCTAAAAAGAAAAGCAGGCCGGCTCAGTGACTCACACCTGTAATCCCAGCACTTTGGGAGGCCCAAGTGGGTGGATCACGAGGTCAGGAGTTTGAGACCAGTCTGGCCGAGATAGAGAAACCCTGTCTCTACTAAAAATGCAAAAATTAGCCGGGCACAGTGTCAGGCACATGTAATCCCAGCTACATGGGAGGCTGAGGCAGGAGAATTGCTTGAACCTGGGAGGTGGAGGTTGCAGTGAGCCGAGATCGCACCCCTGCACTCCAGCCTGGGCGGGAGAGCAAGACTCTGTCTCAGAAAACAAAGCAAAACAAAACAACACTGTAGGAGGCCAAGGCGGAAAGATCTCTTGAGTGCAGGAGTTCAAGTTCCCGTGATCATGCCACTGTACTCCAGCCTGGATGACAAAGTGAGACCCTATTTCTTTTTCTTTTTTCTTCTTCTTCTTCTTCTTCTTTTTTTTTTTTTTTTTTTTGGAGACGAAGTCTCGCTCTTGTCCCCCAGGCTGGAGTGCAATGGCATGATCTTGGCTCACTGCAACTTCCACCTCCCGGGTTCAAGCGATTCTCCTGCTTCAGCCTCCCGAGTAGCTGGGATTACAGGTGCATACCACCACGCCCAGCTAATTCTTTTTACATTTTAAGTAGAGACGGGTTTCACCATGTTGGCCAGGCTGGTTTCGAACTCCTGACCTCAGGTGATCTGCCGGCCTTGGCCTCCCAAAGTACTGGGATTACAGGTGTGAGCCACCGTGCCTGGCCAGGTGAGACCCTGTTTCTAAAAATAAATTCTAGGACATTAAAACATATAAAAAAGAATAAAGAAGAAAATAATATTTAAAGTCACCCATAATTCTTTTCCTCCCCAAACCAAAACCATAGGAGAGAAATGTTATACTACTCCAGAGTGTGAACAAATCTCTTTGGGAACATAGAGGACAAGGCAAGTAATGGTGACTGGGGAATTGGAGAATGGTTAACGTTCTCCATTTGGGAGATGACAATTGATGCTGGCTTTAGCCTGGAGAAGGGGCAGGGAAAGGCGCTGAAGGCGGAGGGAATAGTCAGTAGGAAATGATAGAATCACTCTCTTTTTTTCTTTAATTAGAAAGAAGATAAACTTTGGGAAAGAGCCTGATACATTCTGAGAACTCTAAGAGGTTCAGTGTGTCTAGACTATAAGAGGTAAAAGGGGGGGATAAGGTTGGAAAAAGTGTGAAGACCTTTGTTCATAAAGCTAAGGAATTGGGCTGCTTTCTGTAGGATTGTCCTTAGTTATACTGAGATAGGCAAGGTAATTGACAACTGGAAGCATGATGCTGTTCTTTAACCCCTTAACTAGAAAATTGTTACTTAGCCCGACCGGGTGTGGTGGCTCATGCCTGTAATCCCAGCACTTCGGGAGGCCAAGGCGGGCAAATCAGGAGGTTAGGAGATCGAGACCATCCTGGTTAAGATGGTGAAACCCCGTCTCTACTAAAAATACAAAAAAATTAGCTGGGCGTGGTGGGCACCTGTAGTCCAGCTACTCGGGAGGCTGAGGCAGGAGAATGGCATGAACCCAGGAGGCAGAGCTGGCAATGAGGCGAGATCACACCACTGCACTCCATCCAGCCTGGGCGACAGAGTGAGACTCAGTCTCAAAAAAAAAAAAAGAAAAGAAAATTGTTACTTAGCTTAATCACCCCACCAGATTTTCCTCTACGTCCTCATTTTTCTGTGACCAAAGTTGATGGTTAGGAAAAAAAAAAAAATCCTTACAGGAGGATGCAAGAAGACAAGATAATGGCAAATGTTGGGGCTTAGAAAACAATACCCCAAAGTATGGTGCTTTGGCATGCTGAGCATTTTGAACTAAAGGAAATTAAAAGGCCTTAGAAGCAGCCTCAGAACCAAGAACTTTATGTCTCCTGTTCTGAAGCTCCCTTATCTGAAGCTCCTCCAGAAGGAATATAGTTGCCTTTGATCACTGAAATTTCAAAACAGAGAGGATAAAACTCATAGAGCAGAAAGACTGAGGAAAGTCACCTCATCTAGACAGGCTTTGTCACAAGCCATTGTGTGTTCTTCAGGTCCCATTCACTTTTCAAATAGAATCATTTACAAATGATTGCCTATTCTTTGGGTCCAGTCAGCTCTCTCGAAAATCATTTACTGCCTCTCAAAATTGCCTACATTTTTCCCGTCTCCCTTCTCCCTCTCCCTTATAAAGCTTCAGCCATCTGGCCCTTCTTTGAGTTTCATATTTTGTATGGCTGCTGTGCACATTTGCATGTTAATAAATCTGTTTGCCTTTTCTCCTATTAATCTATTGTCAGTTTATTTCAGCGGACTCGAAACTTTTAAGACGTAGAAAAAAATTCCCTTCTCCCTGACAAAAAATAAGATGTCTTACAGATGTTCTACATAAAGATTTGGCAAACAGAATGCATATGAGTAATCCTTAGCTGTGAAACCATTCTCGTAATAGTTTGTGTTAGGTGCATTTTCTTAAAGACATTTATTTTTGGCATATGGAAAGATTATTCTGTAATATTTGAAAGGAGAAAAAAACCCTCACAGTTCTGATAGTTCCATTTTTTATTCTGCACTTTATGAAGGGTAAATGTGTGGAGTCTGTTTCTGGATGGTAGCAGAAATGTTATAGGAAAGGGGTTCCGATCCAGACCCCCAGAGAGGGTTCTTGGATCTCCGGCAAGAAAGAATTCAGGGCGAATCCGTAAAGTGAAAGCAAGTTTATTAAGAACGTAGAGGAATAAAAGAATGGCTACTCCATAGACAGAGCAGCCCCAAAGGTTGCTGGTTGTCCATTTTTATAGATTTTTTTTTTTTTTTTTTTTGAGACGGAGTCTCGCTCTGTCACCCAGGCTGGAGTACAGTGGCGCGATCTCTGCTCACTGCAAGCTCCGCCTCCTGGGTTCACACCATTCTCCTGCCTCAGCCTCCCGAGTAGCTGGGGCTATAGGCGCCCACCACCACACCTGTCTAATTCTTTGTATTTTTAGTAGCGACGGGGTTTCACCGTCTTAGCCAGGATGGTCTTGATCTCCTGACCTCGTGATCCACCTGCCTCGGCCTCCCAAAGTGCTGGGATTACAGGCATGAATCACCACGACCGGCCTTTTATAGATTTTTTTTGAGATGGAGTCTCGCTCTGTTGCCCAGGCTACAGTGCAGTGGCATGATCTCGGCTCATTGCAACCTCCGCCTCCCTGGTCCAAGCGATTCTCCTCCTTCAACCTCCTGAGTAGCTGAGATTACAGGCACCCGCAACCACACCCGGCTAATTTTTGTATTTTCCGTAGAGATGGGGTTTCACCATGTTGGCCAGGCTGGTCTCGAACTGTTCACCTCAGGTGATCCACCTACCCTGACCTCCCAAAGTGCTGGAATTCCAGGCATGAGCTACCTCAATGGCCCTATTTCTTGATTATATGCTAAACAAGGGGTAGATTATTCATGTCTCCCCTTTTTAGACCATATAGGGTAACTTCCTGACATTACGGTGGCAGTTGTAAACTGTCCTGGCCCTGGTGGGAATATAGCAGTGAGGACGACCAGAGGTCACTCTTGTCACCACTTTGGTTTTGTTGGGTTTTAGCTGGCTTCTTTACTGCAATCTGTTTTATCAGCAAGGTCTTTATGACCTGTATCTTGTGCTAACCTTCTATCTCATCTCATCCTGTGACTTAGAATGCCTTAACCGTCTGGGAATGCAGCCCAGCAGGTCTCATCGTCATTTTACCCAGCTTCACCGGCCGCTTTTTTTTTTTCCCCAGAGGGAGTTTTGCACTGTCGCCCAGGCTGGCATGCAGTGGGGCGATCTTGGCTCACTGCAACCTCCGCCTCTCGGGTTCTAGTGATTCTCCTGCCTCAGCCTCCTGAGTAGCTGGGATTACAGGCACAGGCCACCACACCTGGCTAATTTTTGTATTTTTAGTAGAGACAGGGTTTCACCATGTTGGTCAGGCTGGTCTCGATCTCCTGACCTCGTGATCCGCCTGCCTCGGCCTCCCAAAGTGCTGGGATTACAGGTGTGAGCCACTGCACCTGGCCACCCAGCCCCTATTTAGGATGGAGTTGCTCTGGTTCCAATGTCTCTGACAGATATACACTGAAAAAACTGGTTAGATTGATAACTATATAATGGGAAAAAATCCCCCTAGGAGGATGAGTCAGTAAGTAAAACGTAATCATAGTTCTGAAGGAAAAGAATGCCAAAAATGCCAGATATACAGTAAGTCTCATGCTGGATTAAATAGAGACATGTCCTAAAATGCCTAAAAGGAGGCTAATGATTAGCCCTCTTTTTAATCATCATTATTATTATTATTTGAGACAGGGTTTCACTCCATTGCCCAGGCAGGAATGCAGTGGTGCGATCTGGGCTCACTACAACCTCTGCCTCCAAGACTCAAGCAATCCTCCCACCTCAGCCTCCCAAGTAGCTAGGACTATAGGCACATGCCACCACACCCTGCTGACTTTTTTTTTTTTTTTTTTGTAGAGACGGGTTTTGCCGTGTTACCTAGGCTGGTCTGGAACTCCTAGGCTCAAGAGATCTACCTGCCTGGCCTCCCAAAGTGCTGGGATTAGAGGCGTGAACATCATTCCCAGCCTAATCATTATTTTTATAGTTAAAACTTGTATTTTTCTCTATAAAAAGGTGTGGAAGGTTATCTTGCTTTTTTGAAAAAGGTTGAGACCAAACCTAGACAAAAGTTTTATCCTAAATTTGTTGTATGATTTGATTTCCTACTGCAACATGGGTTTTAAAATCAGCTTTTATTTTAAAGGAAAAGGAATACATTCAAGTGGAAGAGGTTCAAATTTTAAATCATGATTAGTTTTGTATTTGGAAAATAAAGCCATCACATTTCAGCTCCAAATATCTAATCGGTTTTAACTAGGGAAATTCTAGATTAAGAAAGAAGAAAGTAAGTTTTGACATGGGTGTTTCTGTGTTTCAGGGGCCTCCAAAAGGATGAATATGTACTTATCTTACACGGGGTGAAGGCTGTGAGAGTGAGTATTACAGTAGCTTCATTATTACACAGATCCTGCTCTTGAAATTATTTGTGTAATTTTTGCAAGCAGATAGCCCAGTGCAGATATTTGGAGGTCACTATGAAGGGCCAGATAAATATTACCGAAAGCCAGAAAAACTAGAAAGCAAGGCCATAAGAAGGTCTTGTTTCCTTTTTTTTTTTTTTTTTTTTTTTTTTGAGATGGATTTTAGCTCTGGTTGCCCAGGCTGAAGTGCAATGGCCTGATCTTGGCTCACCGAAACTTATACTTCCTGGGTTCAAGTGATTCTCCGGCCTCAGCCTCCTGAATAGCTGGAATTACAGGTATACGCCACCACGCCTGGCTAATTTTGTATTTTTAGTAGAGACGGGGGTTTCTCCACGTTGGTCAGGCTGGTCTCAAACTCCCCACCTCAGGTGATCTGCCCGCCTCAGCCTCCCAAAGTGCTGGGATTACAGGTGTGAGCCACTGCGCCCAGCCAAAAAGGTCTTGTTTACTGACTTCAATGTATTTCATATGCTTATGCAACAGCCTTACCTGCTAAGTAAGACAAATGTAGACATGCTTAAGAACTGGCAAAAGTATTGAAAAGGTATTAAAGGTTTGTATAATGTGCAGTACATGGTATTATTCACATTCATTATGATTTTTTCTAATCCTGAAGATAGAAATATAAGCCTACACAGGATCAAATATTTGCCTTGTTTTGTGTCTTCAATTGGCTGGCTTTTTTTTTTTTTTTTTTTGAGACAGAGTCTCTGTCACCCAGGCTGGAGTGCAGTGGTATGATCTTGGCTCACTGCAACCTCTGCCGCCTGGGTTCAAGCAATTCTCCTGCCTCAGCCTCCCAAGTAGCTGGGATTACAGGCGGCTGCCACCACACTCGGCTAATTTTTTTAGTTTTTAGTAGACATGGCGTTTCACCATCTTGGCCAGGCTGGTCTTGAACTCCTGACCTTGTGGTCCACCCACCTCGGCCTCCCAAAGTGCTGGGATTGTAGGCGTGAGCCACCGCGCCTGGCCCTGGCTGGCTTTTCACTTCAGTGGCTGTGAACATTTTCTGGGTATTTAGCAGTATATGATTTAGTCATCAATCTCTGATATTATAAATCTTTCTGTGGAAATAAGATTTTCACACATTAAATAATTGTACATGAAATAATGACAGAAAAATGCTTTATGATTTTATCACTTCTCTTTAGATGACTATGCTATGCTCATCATACTGTAATACAGAGCTTTTAGAGATTAATATTGGGCCAAGAGCGGTGACTCACGTCTGTGATCCTACCACTTTGGGAGGCCGAGGTGGGCTGATCAGGGTGGTCAGGAGTTCAAGACCACCCTGGCCAATATGGTGAAACCACGTCTGTACTGAAAAAAAAAAAAAAAAAAAGGCCAGATGTGGTGGCACGTGCCTGTAGTCCCAGCTACTCAGGAGGCTGAGGCAGAAGAATTGCTTGGACCTGAGAGGCGGAGGTTGCAGTGAGGTGAAATTGTGCCACTGCACTCCAGCCTGGATGACAGCAAGACTGCGTCTCCAAAAAAAAAAAAAGAAAAGAAAAATATTAGTATTGATATAGCATTTGTACAAAGTTATATACCCAGAAGGGATTCAATAAATGCATGCTTGCTGATTAACAACTTTTATTAAGTCATAGTACTTCTATGTAAGTTACAAAGTGTGATTCAGACCTTTTGGGGAGTCATAAAGGAAAAATCATATTCTCTGATCATATTAGGATCTATGTTTAAATGGAAAAATCTCCAGCTTCTACATTCTGGCTATGAGCAGTAGGAATCATGACATATATATATATTTTTTTAATGTAAAAACAATTTTTTTTTTGAGACAGAATTTTGCTCTTGTTTCCCAGGCTGGAGTGCAGTGGCGTGATCTTGGCTCACTGCAACCTCCACCTCCTGGGTTCAAGCGATTCTCCTGCCTGATTTACATTTTTCCAGAATTTTCTAAGTATATGTTTATAGAGAATTGAACATACATACAGCTGGGATAATGTATTACTTACATTTAACATTCTGGTTTTCCAATTTAATACTATATCATGGGCATGTCCCCATGATATTATTTTCTATAAATACCATTTTAATAGCTCTATAGTATTTCATGCTATTTATATTTCATGGTTTACCCAGCTGTTATTTTATTGTTAGATATTTAAATTAATTCCAATTTTTTAGTACTATATATAAACAATGCTGTGATAGACATTTTTGTCTGCCTTTCTGAGTATTTCCTTAGGACATGGCTATTCTTAATTTTTTTATTTTTTATTTTTGAGACAGGGTCTTGCTCTGTTGCCTAGGCTGGAGTACAGTAGCATGATCATGGCTCACTGCAGCCTCGACCTGCTGGGCTCAAGTGATCCTCCCACCTTAGCCTCCTGAGTAGCTGGGACCACAGGTATACAAAATTATATACCACAGGTATATAAAATTTTTTCATTTTTTGTAGAGACAAAGTCCCACTATGTTGCCCAGGCTGGTCTCCAACTCCTGGTCCTCCTGCCTGAGTCTCTCAAAGTGCTGGGATTACAGGCATGAGCCACCCCACACCCAGCCTAGTGTAATATTTTTCAAGAATTTCATTTCATTGATTCTATAAATGCATAAATCTTAAATTATTTCAGACTCTAATCATATAAACTACAAATGTAAAATATGCACAAATATATTCAGGGTCTGAGCAGAAGTTATCTATGAAAATTTTTCTTTAGTAAGTCAATTCAAAAGCATGAATAACATTTCGTGAAGCATTTTTCTTTTCTTTTTTTTCTTTTTTGAGACAGTCTCGCTCTGTCACTCAGGCTGGAGTGCAGTGGTGCGATCTTGGCTCACTGCGAGCTCCGCCTCCCGGGTTCACGCCATTCTCCTGCCTCAGCCTCCAGAGTAGCTGGGACCACAGGTGCCCGCCACCATGCCCGGCTAGTTTTTTTGTATTTTTAGTAGAGACGGGGTTTCACTGTGTTAGCCAGGATGGTCTCGATCTCCTGACCTCGTGATCCACCCGCCTCTGCCTCCCAAAATGCTGGGATTACAGGCGTAAGCCACTGCGCCCGGCCAGCATTTTTCAAGTGGATCAATTTTTACTCACTTTTATAGACCCATTATTTTATTTAACTCATGGTTATTTTGACACACAATGTTTCCTTACATCATATAGGTTAGGCCTCATTTACTCATTCACTCAGGTGGAGGTGCCCTTTCCCCTGACTTAATCTGTATTAGTGAGTGTTTGCCGTATTACCTCCCATTTTAAAACAGTGTAAGTCTAGGCTGGCTGTGGTGGCTCACGCTTGTAATCCCAGTACTTTAGGAGGCCAAGGTGGTCCGATGGCTTGAGCCCAGGCGTTGGAGACCAGCCTGGGCAGCATGGTGAAACTCAGTCTTGACAAACAATAAAAGAACTTAGTGGGGTGTGGTGGTGTTGCACCTGTAGTCCCAACTACTTGGAGGCAGAGACAAGAGGATCACCTGAGCCCACCAGGTCAAGACTGCAGTGAGCTATGATCATGGCACTGCACTCCAGCCTGGGGACAGAGCAAGACCCTGTCTCAAAAAAATAGAATAGGCTGGATGAGGTGGTTCAGGCCTGTAATCCCAGCACTTTGGGAGGCCAAGGCGGGCAGATCATGAGGTCAGGAGTTCAAGATCAGCCTGACCAATATGGTGAAACCCCGTCTCTACTAAAAATACAAAAATTAACCAGGCATGGTGGCACACACCTGTAATTCCAGCTACTCAGGAGGCTGAGGCAGAGGATTGCTTGAACCCAGGAGGCGGAGGTTGCAGTGAGCCAAGATTGTGCCACTGCACTCCAACCTGGGCAACAGAGTGAGACTCTGTCTCAAAAAAAGGAAAAAGAAAGGCCAGGTGGGGAGGCTCGGCTGGGCGGGGTGGCTTATGCCTGTAATCCCAGCACTTTGGGAGGCCCAGGCAGGAGTATCACGAGGTCGGGAGATTGAGACCATCCTGGCTAACATGCTGAAACCCCGTCTCTACTAAAAATACAAAAGAAAAAAAAATTAGCCAGGCATAGTGGTATGTGCCTGTAGCCCCAGCTACTCGGGAGGCTGAGGCAGGAGAATTGCTTGAACCCGGGAGGTGGAGATTAGAGTGAGCTGAGATTGCACCACTGCACTCCCGCCTGGGCGACAGAGTGAGACTGTCTCAAAAAAAAAATGTGTGTGTGTGTATATATATATAACAAATATATATATTGCAAGTATATATATTACACGTATATATATATATTACAAATATATATATATGCACAGACACACACACACAAAATTAGCTGGGTGTGGTGGCGAGTGCCTGTAATCCCAGTTACTTGGGAGGCTGAGGCAGGAGAATCGCTTGAACCTGGGAGGCAGAGGTTGCAGTGAGCCGAGATCGCACCAGTGCACTTTAGCCCGGACAACAGAGCAACACCCTGGAGTCTCACAGAAAAAAAAAAAAAAAAAAAAGAATTCAGCCAGCAACGTGAATAAGCTTAAAAAAGGAGATTCTTCCCCTGTTAAGCCTCCAAGTGATACACAGTCTGGTTGACACTTTGCGATCTTGTGAGACTCTGAGCAGACAGCCCAGCTAACCTGCCCAGACTCCTGACATGGAAACTGAGAGATAATCAATACATGTTGTTTTGAGCTGCTACGTTTGTGGTAATTTGTAACACAACAATAGAAAATGAATTTAAGTAAGTACCATCAAAAGATGAGAGGAAGGAACTTATCTCCCTTGTTCCTTGCTGTATGTAGTACCTGAAACAACGACCAGCGCATAGTTCAGTAAACATCTGTTGGTTATATATATGACGGAATAAATGTATGGATGGAGGCAAAGGATTGGACTGGATTCTAACAACATGGCTAGTGGCTATAGGCTAAGAAATAGTAATTTCTGGCTGGGCGCAGTGGCTCATGCTTGTAATCCCAGCACTTTGGGAGGCCGAGGCGGGCGAATCACAAGGTCAGGAGTTCAAGACCAGCCTGACCAATATGGTGAAACCCCATCTCTATTAAAAATACAAAAAGTAGGCCGGGTGCGGTGGCTCAAGCCTGTAATCCCAGCACTTTGGGAGGCCGAGACGGGTGGATCACGAGGTCAGGAGATCGAGATCATCCTGGCTAACACGGTGAAAC